ACAGTTTACCGAATGGAAAAGTCATTTCGTGTTGACAAACTGCCCTAGGTTTCGGAGGATGGGTGAATAAATCAATCTGAAAAAAATGACAGAATATTGTACTTCATAAATAAATGCCGGGCCCTGATTAAACGCCGGCTTCAAATAAATGCTGGGTCCACAAGGCCAATTTTGAAATAAACGCTGGTGGGGTTTAATTGAAAAAATACGGTAAACAGTTTTTCAAACTTGCAGGAGTTAACTGTTGCTAAATTGTGCAATTTAAGGCCTGGGCGTCAATTTAACAATTTCATGCCTGGGCATGGGGCTATTTTCTATATAGTGTATGTGCAGGTAATGTGTGCGGTCATACTATTCTGAAATCGACTACATTAGGCTAACACTGTAACTGATCAAGAGGCATTTTGAAATATTCTAGGGACAAAGGAAAGCTGTCAAGTCTTCTTCTCCACCTTTTGTTCCACCTCCTGGAAAGACATCAAAGAGACCATTTGCTTGGGAGGTTGAAAACCAATGTTCTATATTATTTGTAGATTAAAAATAGTGATGTATGTGTACATCTGTATGTATGTCTTGCCTGAGACAAATGTAAATCTACTATACATCTTTTTTGGCAGTCAGTTTTTTCATCTCCATGAGATTTGACCTAAGAACTCCAAATTGATCACACGGCTCAACAGTTACAGATGTCATCTACAGTCTACTGTACATGTGTCTTTAGTTGTTTTACTTTTTAGTAACAGGTAGTCATAGATACTAGACAGGCCTCTGCAGAGCTTTGCAGCTTTGCAGAGAATGCAGTAACTGTTACATCAAGGTCTAGCTGCATGGACAGGTCTTGGATCAATATTGTAAATTTTAGTAGAGGGATATCTTTTCTACATGTAATCATTTTCACATCTCTGATTGTGCTGTTTCCAATAATCAAGTGTTTTTCAGATGAATCTGCAAGTATTTTGTGCACATGCAAATTCAGAAATAATTTCTCAAAGACAACATATTCATTGTGGAAAGTGTTATTTCCTTCTTTTGTTGTCTGTTTATTTAGGGATCTTCACATCGTCTGGAAATTAGCCCTCCTAGAGGTGGATCCCTAAGGATGGAAGACCTGTCTACCTCTGAGGTACTCTAACATTTCTTAAGTTTCTTTTATTTCTTTGTGGCATGCAACATTCCATCCATCTGTACATCTGTCTGTCTGTCTACCCCTCCATCCGTCCACCCACCCACCCACCCATCCATCCATCCATCCATCTGTCTATCCACTCTAGAAAATAAATTTAAAAATATTTTAGTAATTGCACATATGAAGGGTACCTGTAGCTGGTATGTTCTCTTTAATGTAATTCCTAAAATAGGAAGAGGAAGTACATGGAAAGATAAGAACATATGAGAAAAAAATTGGCAGTTTGATGTCAGAAGTTGGATCTCTGAAAACTGAGGTATGTCACACTGGAGTTACCAGTGCCATGAGTGGGTATAAAATTTTGGGTTTATAAACAATGCCCAGGTACTTTGAATTGATAATAAAATTATTAAATTTCTTCATTCTCCAGATGGATATCCGTAGAGCAAGACAAGCTGTAGAAAAGAAAGATGAACAACTAGATGCCTCTAGAAGAATACTTGAAGCACAGGAAGATGAACTCTTTGTAAGTGTTCTGGCAACCAGCAATTTTGCAGTGCAAAATGCCAAATTTGGAGCTCTTTTGGCAATGTTCATAACCAAAAATTGCTAATGCCCTTTTCCACCAAGTCTTTCAATTATTTGCTGCCCTCTTCACAAATCAATGGAGTTCACTAATCCTGACTTCAGACTAACAAATATCTCTCTGGCCTTAACTGTCTACTACTTCAGTCTGCTATCCTGCTGGCTTGTTTAAAAAAAATTTACAGGGCTGCATCTCTTTCCACCTTGTTAGCCTGTGTAGCAGGCAATCATTTCCAAAAGCATGCAAAGGTGCAAAAATAAGGGGAAGGGGGTGGGTGCCTCACCCCTCCCCCTTGTCTTTTTTTTGCTCACTCCCTGCCCACTTCTCCCCATTTTTTGCTCACCTCAGGGGTGCTTGTTTGCTTGCTTGCTTGATCTCCCCACCTGAAAAATGGAAAGGAAATGTCTGCTACACGGACTACCATCTTGTATCATATTTTAGTTTGCTTATCATTTCCCAGCAGTAACTGAGTGCATTGATGAGGATAAACTAAGTAAATATTATTTACAGGGATACAAGCAAGAGTTAAAAGCCACTGTCAAGGAAAATGAGGCCCTGCGTCATTCAGTAGAGAAATGGAAAGAGGATGCCAGTGTCACAAGGTACAGAATTGTTAGCAAGCTACCTGACTCCGTTGTGGGTTTGTTACAAATAAGATATGAACTTGGAAGTATTGTTATCGATTTTGCAAGCGAATCTCAGACATTATTATTATAATTGAGCACACACACATGACATGGTACATTTGTTTTCTCACACTAACCCGTCTAATAGGAAACATCATGATTACAGTAGTCAGTTGGAAGACTGTCCTTGTATCTTGTAGGACCGAGGTGGGAAAGCTAGCAGGGGAGAGAGCAGCGTTGTTAAAGAAACTCGTAGAAGTAGAAATGGATGGCAAGGCTGCTGGTGAACAAATGATAAAACTTAGAGACACTGTGAGGAGACTAAAAGAGGTAGATCTTGTATATGTGTTTTACACGAGATACTTCACAATGTAGATATAATGACGAGGATTTAACATATGACCCGTACGGCCCCGCGCTCTATTTCCTTGGAAAACCATAAGAGAAAAGGTCCTGTATCCCGTATCCCGCATCCCCGCGCCGAAAAGAAAAGGCGGGGGAAACACGTATGGCCCTACTAGAAACACGTACGACCCGCAAAATCGATGTGAGTTAACGACAGAATCAGTTGTGTTGCTGCAAAATTTTGTTTCCTTCAAAATGTGTGATGAAAGTGAACATTTTGACAGCGAATTTTACTATCCTGGCGAACTGTCCTATGCAGAACTACTGCAATCGCCAACTTGCTCTGAAAGAAAGTCAACACTCTTCACAAATGAAGACGTTCACAACCTTGTCAGAAGTCAGCAACAAAATGGTCATCTGATAACATTCGTATTGACTGAGTGAGGTCAGGCCGAACAGGAAAATATTTGGCTCGTGGTTAGGACACAGACCTGAGCCAAATGTTTTCCCGTCCGGCCCTCCCACTCAGTCAATAAGTATTTCTGGAAAGGAGAAAGTTGCACTGACACGCTACTTGTAAGGGTGTGTCCCATATTTCCATATTTTTGGCTTACACTTCTTGTCTGCATTTAATACAGTAGTGCACTACATGGCTTTACTTTTTGAAGACTCGAGGATAATATTGTTAAAGGCAGTCTAGTTTTGCACTTGTGGAGTACACTTTTTACCATACGCAAATTCGCAATTAGCCAGTCAGAAGCCGTGTCTACTGTCCTAATATTCCGCAACATCAAGTCATTGACCCGGTATGGCTACGATATCATGCTCACTTGTCCAAATTTGGGTATGGTAAATACCTAATCGTACCTTTGAGGCTCCTGTGTTCTCGCTAATTTATGGGTATTTTGGCGAGACTATACGAACCATGGCTCGACCAAACTCGCCTGATATGACGCCGAAGCGTACCAAAGAGGTACCATTAGGTATAACAATTGTCTATTTCGATAAAAATTCACCAGCACTGAGCGCGTTTCATGTCCACGTACGTACATGTACACTGTAGACCATTTCTGATCATTTCTCAGGATAAACGAATGTCAGCTGCTGACACTACACTGATGACCAGACAGAGAGAAATGTTGCTACAAAAGCTGGATGAGTTTGAAAGGACTAATAAAGCATTGAGAAGACTGCTCAGGGAACAACAGGCAACAGAGGTACTGTCAGCATTCAAATTACATATGGCATAACCTGAAGGAGCAATACCACGATTTTGTGAAGTTATTACTTTCGAATTGAAGTAAACCTCAAAATAAGTTTCTTATGGTTGAAAAAACACCAAAGAGGTGATGATAAATTGATAGTATGTCAGGAAGGTTAAGACTGAACAAGAAAGACGGATTACGTATGACAAAAAAAACTTGGCTTTTTTTAAGATGCGCTGTCCTCCACGTAGTTTCTTTAATGAAGCTATTCACAATAAAGCAAACGAGCAAACAAACCAAGGAACAACAAGAAAAATAACCTAACGGGCTAAGATTGCTGTAGTCAATTTGTCCCTCTAATAGTTAATTTTTTGAGTGGGGCTAATTTAGCTTTCGATGTGAGTAAGGACTAGCATCATATACATGTAAGTGCTACGTACGTACAGTAACCTTGTTTTGTTTTACCACAGGAAGAACATGATCACCTAAGAAAACAACAAGAAGTTCTACTTAAGAGACTCACGCAATCTGACACCACAAATGAGGTAAAACTGACGGACTTGACCTTACTTATTTACAGTAAAAACGCTTAGTTTTGCTAAATATTTACCATCGGCCGCTCAGTCTTAGGGACCTAGTCCGAGAGCATGTCACCTGGTTGTTTCTTGTTTTGGCTGATACAGACATTATTTAACTCCTACAAAGGTCAACTACTTTTTCAGTAGAGCTTTGTGATCTGTTAAGAAGCTATATCAGCCTTTGTAACACTCTCTGTTCACCCTGTTAATAAACATTTCCAGAGTCCGTATTCCATGTGATTTTCAGTATTATCGATTATGAAACTCTTCGTCTTTCTTTAGCGTTTACAACTTGAGGTGACAGAAAGAGACAGACAGATTGAAACTTTACTGGCACAAGTGGAAGCCGATAAGGTTGGTGTTTTCAATGTAAGCTAAACGTCAGGTCGTTCATAGTCCAGTTCTGGCCGACCTGGCCCTCTTTCCATCACGCAACGAGATTGAGGCGTCGTTCAATATCGGGTCAGCTATCTGATAAATTATGTGAAGTCTGTTCTATGGAAACTGAAAAGGAATACTCAGTGAAAACTTCTAGGTATGCCAGAAATGAATAGTTGATTGGTAATCTTATGTTTTGTTTCAATCAGTGTCCTTTCGAACTATACGTAAAAATAACAAAATCGTTTAATCAGTCCGTTTAAAGAGTTTTTGTCATTTCAGGATCAGGCTGTCACATTTGAAGAACTGAAAAAGACAATGGAAACCACCCGGGCTCACCTTCAGAATCAGCTTCGCTCCAAAGAAATGGAATGCGGCAGACTATCAGTACAGATAAGAGTAAGAAATAATAACTAGCCTTTACAAAAGGCTGCCGAACAAAGAACTTGAAAATTTGTCGTACAGTTTTCACGTACAGTACTGTAACTAGCAGAGAACTGAATTTCTCTGGTGAATGGAAAGGATTTGTGCAGTGCCATTCCTTTAAGAGTACCAGTACCAGAAGTGTGCGACTGATTCAAGCAGTGGACTTTCTACTTTAAAGCAGCTTTTCTCCAGGTCTTGTTCAGAAACAAGTCGTTTGGTTGATCGCGCGCCTAAGGACTGAGCTTGTCTTTGAAGTTTTTGTAAAAGGGTACTTGTTACCCCACCACTAATGATAATTAAAAGAGATGTCTATCCCATATGGTCGCCCATTTGTCAAAGTTAGCAATGGTGATGGCAGAATAACCTGAGATATTCATGGAATTCAAACACTTTTTGTGATATTGCTAGGTATTTACTCGATCGTTTCTGACACGTGTTTCCTGGAGCGCTTTCCATTTGCAAGGAAAAGCTGGTGAGAAATTTCCGCCAAATGGAATAGAAAAAAAATTTCATCAAACAAAAAGAGACGGGAAGGGTGAGTACCATTTGGCAGCTTTTGGAAACCTTCCAGTGAAAAGGACTGTTCCGTTTCATAAACCACCGAAACGACTGCGTTTCTCATCCAGGAGCATAGGCAGTGGAAAGGTCCATTCCATTTGGTTTCCCACAGTGAAGAAAAACCGGTTTTTCCATACAAATGAAAGCGCTCCAGTTCTGGCTAATACATAAGAAACAAACATTTTTTTTCTCTCTCTTTAGAGCCTTGAGGATCAGTATGAACAAGGCAGACTTGAATTAGAACACATGCAGGGATTAATTGCAGCACAAAGGGTATAATTACGTTAATTTCTCATTGCTTTTTGTGGGGCATCAAACTGCAACCACTATATAACGAACAAACCTTTTTAAACCGATTATTTCAAATATCACTGTTCCATTAACACCAAAAATTGACTTCAAACCCGTGACGGGGGAAAGGAAAGACCGAAGTAATCTTTTGTAGTTTTCGTCATGGGTTGGTCCCCAGGCTTATATTTTTTCTTTCGCAGACAATCCCCTTTACTTTCCGGTTACATATTTACGAATAACCCTAGCGCTATCTATCGATGACAATTGAATGCAATCGCCAGTATTCTCCCATTGACCCAATGCTGTTGGTCAGCCAGGAGGTCTACCTGCCGGGGGCGGAGGCGGTGTGTAAAACATTTACCTTCCCTTACTTCTCTACAGGAAAAGAATGGCAGAGAAAAAGAAGCACTCAAAAAAGCGGCAAGGTAAACCAGGTTTCGTTATCTTGTTATCCGGTTTGTCCGTTTAAATATAAATTAGAGAGACGTTTCCAACTAGCTTCTAAAATAGTTGCGTTTATGTTTCCTTTGGTTCCACGTTGTCAATCTTTCTCATGGTTGTCAAAGTGAAAAAGCGTTTTTCCTGCATTGCCACCGATTATGTTTTTGCTTGTTAATTTGTTTTTGTTGATCACTGAGTTTTGGTTTTAACATTGTTATTTTGCAGTTGCTTTTTGCACTTTTATTTTACACAACGAAAACAACAATTGTAAAATTTTTAATGAGTTGCTTCTTGGATATCACGGTTCTGCTGCCTTTGATTTCATCCTCTAGATGGGAATGTGGGAGGTTACTTATCGCTTGGATTTTAAATCTTTTTTTTTTTTTTTTTTTTCAATTAAGATAAAAAATCCACGTTTAGTTCAAATCGAAAACTTTTAGGAGAACTTCCTTGTAAAAAAAAATTTGGTTTGGGCACCTAAAAGTAAAAATGTAAGTCATATATGAGTACAAGAAGAGTTNTTTTTTTTTTTTTTTTTTTTTGGTGTTGTTCTTTATTTCAGAATACAAAAGGAACGTGTTAGTGAAAGAGAAAAAGATTTAGAAGTACTCCAAGAAAAGCTTGCTGAACGGGTGAGTTACTTAGTTATTTAGCATAACCAAATTATCATGGTTGTGAGGAAGGCCAAAGATTACAAAGGCTTGCGTTTAACAGGTGAGTATTTTTTATACTTTTTTTTTTGTTATGTTCAGGATCTCGAACTGAACGAAACAAAGAGAACAGAAGCAAGTTTAAAAGAAGAAAAGGGCGACGCTGATCTTGAGATTAAAACATTAAAAAGGTAAATGTGTTGATTATCAAGAAGAGGCCTGATCAAACTTGAACGAAATCTGAGGAGAGTTCACGAGAACTCGAACCACTCTTGCTCTCCTTGTTTCTTTAGGTTGTTTTCAATGTTAATTTTGGAATGTCGTAATTAATGTATCAGTTGGAAGCGCAAAGTATCATCCCGCTTTACCGATTTTCATTTCTACCTGTATTTCTTTTAATGTCAGTCCTCAAGACAGTATTTTGAAGTTGATAGTTTTCGTTATTCTTGTTACTTGTGTTTGACGAGAAAACTGAATTTACAAGGAGAAATCACTTGTTAATCACCCTTGGGATTGACCGTCGTCCTGTTCGTTCTCTGTAGTCGCGTCAGGGAGCTGCACGAGTTAGTGGAGACCACCGAGAAATCAGCCCAGGTGAGTTTTCGAGTTTACTTCTGAATCTTGAAAACGGTGTGCAGAATTCCATTCAGCGTCAGATTGTACAAAACCGTTTAATTTTGAACTATAGACCTTGAACTTTCAAATTCTCATGTCTTTTCTGTAACTACAGTATGTCGATCTGTTTCTTTGACTAAGATAGTTATTCAATATTCTACATGGGCCTTTCTCTTGATTCTTGTCAAGGCTGTTGCTACAATGTAACTGAGTTACATAGCGTATATGGCGAGAAGCTGACGTGATAAGAATCATAGCTTTGGGAGCACTCGTGTTGTGCCTGTATGGACCGCAACAATCTTCGGTTACGACGAGGGTTTCCGAAAACAGCGGTTATTTCCTCGACTGTGCCGATTTTTGGGTAAGAAATGGTTGGTACGCCAGGTTGTCGTACGCAGATTTTGGCTAAGATAATCCCAGTAATATGTTTACCCAGGAAGAACGTGCATTTAATGTCTAATAAAAAGTTTAAAAGCAAGCATGAACTCGCAGCGTGACGATAACCTTTTCCTTGATTTCAGAGCAACAGCGAGACTCTCACCTCAAAACTAAGCACGAGAACACAGGAAGTCAACATGCTCAGATTGGAAAATGAACAACTCAAGGTACAGCATATAAAAACCAGTCAATAGAGGCCTTGTGTGCTGCAACTTGAGCTATGCAAGGCTACGTGAACGACTTGACAGATTTCATATGAAAATTAAGCACGTGGTTTGAAAAGCATTCACCTGCGTACCCGAGACTACAAAAGCATACTTTGTATTTCTCAGTTAAAACAAAGGACAAACAGCAAAAACAACACAGAGAGATGGCAGAGAGCCAATCACGGTATTTGGAAAAACCAGTCAGAAGTTCAATGATGTGTAATTATATGGGCAGCGCCAAGCAAGGAAAGCGTCCCGTTGGCAAATTACAGTTTGGCATCTAGGACACTTCCCTTTGAGTCTCTTGCCAGTTAAATAGGTTTTAATCTCAAATGGTCTTACAATATTGTGGGATGAGCTGACAACCTTTTGGTGTTCGTAAACTCTTCCTTTTTCATTTACAACCGTTTTTGCAAATTCCTTTCTTTCATGATGTACAGATTTTCTGCTTCCGCCAAAATGTCGATAGGAACCTTATCAAGCGTAGTAGACGGATTTTTGTGATTGTGACAGCGTGTCATGGCATGACTGCTACTGATATCTAGTGCTTATTTACATCTCTCTTTTCTCGTGTAACAGGCTGATATCGCTGCTTTAGAAGAGCGTCTTCACGAAGAAGAACAGCGGGCCGTCAGTAAGGTGAGCGCTTTAGTGTTATCAGACGGTTTACCAGCCATGGAAAATTGCGGTGAACGAGTTAGAATTATTTCAAGTCACAGGACGATTTAAAGGCAGGGGTGGTGAGTTGGAATGTTGAAATTATATGTATTTAAAGAATCTTACTGGTAACCTACTTCCTGACTTGCTCAAGAAAGGCTCAGTTTTCTATATCGGTGCAATTGAGGTTTACCATGTCCGACGTACTCCGATCGCAGGCACAGTAGCGTTTTCGGGAAGATACGATACGTGAAGTAGGGTTGAAGTAGACGAGCAAATGAGAAACGAAATGAGAATATGCATGGTCAGTGGATTGGGAAGACAAACATGCCCGACATTCTGGAACTTACTGGGTAAACATGCCGACTTTACTGGTGTGTCCGCGATCCGTGAAGCGCCTCGAATAGGACGTTTTACTCATGCATAGAGTAGGTGGTATGGTCTTAAGTATTTTTACTTTCCTCGCCTACGTATCTTTTATGTGTTTCGTAAAGTAAGGTGGAGGAGTGTGACAAGTCAAGTTATTAGCCAAGGGAGTGGGGCGTGTCAAGACGGGAGCCAAGGGAGTGGGGGGAGCCAAGGGAGTGGGGCGAGTCAAGGCATTAGCCATGGAAGTGGGGTGGGTCAAGACATTGGCAAAGGGAGTGGGGAGGGGCTAAATTCTCCTCATCTCTTCCCCGCTGCAATTGACTCAGACAAACGGGCGAATTCAGCGTTTACTTACCAAGAATTTCCACATTGCATTCTCTTTTCACACGTGTGCTGAACATTCCTTGGGTTATGATCTCTTTAGTCCTATCATCAAGCATTCTTTTTCTTTTCTAGCTAGAATGACCGAGAAGGGAAATCAGCAGATCTTTCCTTATGCCCTATGGTTTCATGTTATGTATCCATGTTGATTTGCAGTCAGTGAATGTTAGGCAGAAAACAGATAGTCCTGCGAGGGCAGTATATCGCGTAGTTAACTTGTAAGTGAGGTAGTTATCGTGTCTTAGGGCAAAGGAGTAGAATCAAAGATGACAGATATGTTAACAAGCATGAAGCAATACAATGAACTTGTGGAGGAGTACAAGATAAAGGTACTATCATGCGTGCTCGCTTCGTTATCTTGCTTTTCAGCCCGCCTCGTCACATTTTGCGCATCTTGAGAATTTCAGGCTATTTTTTTTAAGTTCGTTGTTTGTAAATAGACTTATATCAATCTCATCTCCCCCCTCCCCACTACCCGCCCNCCCCCCCATCTCAACCATCCTCATTCGTTTTGGTCTGTCCTACCTCCGGTGCCTTTGCACTTTATTAGCAAAATGTTGTTTCGAGGTTCTTTCGTTTTGAAGGCATTTTTTTTTTTTGCATGGCGCAAATAGTGATACATAGTTCCTTTTAACCCAAGTCATACATAGTTTATTAACCCAAATTAACGAGCTTGTCGCGTGGTTAGGTTAGTTGTGGACGGGACTGTAATCAGTCAGAGACCTAACCTAAGTTGTTGGTTTTTGTTGATTTGAACCTAGTGATTTCTCGTATTTAAATAAGGGTTGAGTTGTTTGAGCTTTTTGTATTGTGTTTCCCACTGTCCTGTCAGGCGAACAAGTCAGATACAGAAATAAATCAGCTTCAATGTAGCGTCACTGAGTACCAGACAGCGATAGAGGAGTTGAGAAACCAGGTAGAACCACGGGGAGAAAATCGTGTGAATTAGGGTGTGTTCCTTTGGGGTGATCTGGACCAGGATCGATGATCCAAGATTACTCGGATCATGGTGCATCAAAAAAACTGATGAATCCGTGACCAGAGTGGATTCATCAGTTTGAGGCACCATGATCCGAGTGATCTTGGATCACTAGCCCCGACTAGGATCATTCTTAAGGAACGCACCCTTAGAAATTACGATTGTCCCTCTTGCTTATTCGTTCAATCTTTGGTTCGTTCGTTCACTTATGGTCTCGCTCGCAATTTTCATTACTGCGTCGAGCAAGTACAGACACTGCAAAGCTCTACAGAATTAAGCGTGCAAACTTATTTTAATTACACGCTCCTCTTCTCACTATGACCCTTGTTTCGTTAGTCATTTACTTACTAAACTAGTCTTGAGTACACTTCAAGGAATACAGAACTGCGTAAAAAATACAAACCAAAAATGAAGCAACTTGTAAATATGAAACTAGTAAAGTTATTTCCCTCTCATTTCTCACGTGGCTCGCTATGTCGTTCGTTCTCTCCTTCACTCACGTTTGTTTGTATATTTTTCTCTTGCTTCGACCCACAGCATAAAGCTGACAAAGGTGAACTTAGAAAACAAAAGGTTTTGTCCAAGGAATATGAGGACATTATTCAGGAGTACAAGACTCAGGTAGACAGAGCAGTGCAAGAATAGATAGCAAGCTATAGTGTCTTGGATACTATATCCAGAGTGTCGTTGACGAGAGCAAGTTAATGTAAGGTAAAGTCTGCATGCGAGCCAAGTGGCCCATCAGGCCGGAGCTTATCCCGGTTTCTGTAGCATGAAGCGACTAGGAGTATTTCTANCCCAAGAACACAACACAATGTCCCCGGCCAGGGCTCGAACCCGGACCGCTCGATCCGGAGACGAGCGCACTAACCATGAGGCCACCGCGCCTCCCGCAAGTTAATGTACAGTTTATAAACTCCTCCCAATAACTGCGATTCTCGCCTGTTAACAGCTACATGAACGATCAAGTTGCGCAAAATGATCCGTTCTATTAATGTATGGAATAGATAAATTGATACGTAGTTAGTAGGAGTGTGGTACTTAGATAATATGCGTTTATTATCTGGCAGGTAGTTAGTTACGAGGCAGAGATAAATGACTTGAAAGCTAACCTCAAACACTGCAGTCTTCTGTTGGACGACCATAGAGCAAGGGTAGGAAAATACAAGGAAAATGTTCCCAATTTTAGCATTACTGTATACTGTTTCTTACTGACATTAATGTAGCTTCCGATCTCTTCTTCTTGGCTGCCCTGGTCTCAGAGGTTTTCATTCCTCTCTCTTCTCTGAAAATCAGGGTGAAAATCTGCAGGACCAGGCTACTTCCTGGGTTGCCGTTGTTTGTCAATTCGTCAAATCAAGAAAAAAACTGAATTTCTCATGTGTCTTCTGAAAATTTACTGAGCACGCCGTTTTCGGCAGTAACATTGATAAACAACAAGGCCTATCCTGATTACGACGACCTGATGTGACATCGTCGGAGAGCTCGTGTTATTTGTGATTGGACAATAAGGATCGGAAACTCTTCGGGCATTTGTCCGAGTATTTGTTAAAAACGACTGTTGTTCCCAGACTGCTGCATTATTACTTGTGACACTGTAGGAGAGCATTCTCAAATTGTCCATATTTCAGAACTTGGTAGTGTGATCGTGTAGTCCAAACATTTTCGTGAACTACTTTGATTGCGATCGTTATTCAGACAGCCATGTTACTGGCGCGGTTTATCCTTGTCTCTTATCTTTAAATCCCTGGCGATGATTTATTCCCATCTTCCGTCTTTGCCTTGTTCTGTTACAACAAATGCATGCAGCCTCAGTGGCGGGCTTATGAGACCTTATGAGAATGAATGAAGTTCATCTCAATACAAAGTGCCTACTTTTGCCAAACTGAATTCTTCCATCGAAATGAAATAATTTCAGGATGGGGATAATTTTAATCCTGACTGACAGAAGCCTGTCTACTCCATTTCGGAACATAGCCGAGAATTCCCCTCAAGACAGTCTGTGTTTGTCTGTTTGTTGCTTCGTCTGTGTTTCCGTGACAATAAAACACTTTGAATTTTGACGCTGAAAGTCATGTTATCCTCATTCAGTGTACCAACAGCATGGCTGAGACTGCTCAGCTAAGAGCGGCTGTTAAAGAATACGAAGATCTTATTCGAGACTACAAAGAACAGGTAGGGCGGATAGAAAGATAGCTGAGTTTAGAGTCCTAGGCGACCTTGATATGCTAGATAAAGTAGTTTACACTGCTGTTTGAAAGTCTTGCCAGAATATAGTACATTTCCAGTAACAATCTCCCTCTTCTTAAAGAATGTTTGGCTTTTTTAGATGGAGGATCAAGCTTTTTTTTTGGGGGGGGTGGGGTGGGGGCAGGAAGGAGAGGGTAGAGCTTAATATGGAGGGGATATGGTTGAGTTATGTTTGATAGGGATTTTGCATCTGAAAAGTTCAGGAGCATGTAAGAATACAACTAGACTACTGGCCTTCAAACACTCGTAAACTCTCAGACAACACTCTTATACGTTTAGGTGCGGGTGAGGGAAGGGGAAGGAGCATCCCTTTGTGGTAGACTCGTTCAGGTGCATGTCCTGTGGAGACTGAGTACTAAATCTTTTCTTAAGCAATGGGTGCCAACTCAAGAATTGTGTGCCAATCAAAATAGAAGTTTGGTCTTTCAGTTTATCAGACCAGGGCTAAATATAGATTTGCCTGTTATCTTCAAGAGATTGAACCCCCAAAGCGGCCATCAATACAAGCGCTTATCCTCGGCTTCTGGCTGTGCCATTGCGTGTGCACCTTGCAGTGTTTTCCAGCGTATTTCAAGCAAGTTACAAAGAGCGATTTACTTACGTTGGTAGAGAAAAGCTATGGCGAGAGTCTGCGCCTTGCAATCAACTATACTATAACTGTATTCTGTATAAAACTCGAGGAGACCTAAACACCTGTAAGCTTTCTAGTTTTGTCTTCTCGCCACTCAAGTTTGAGTTTTTTCACGCGGATTGCAATATTCTTTTGTGTGACGGATAAAATAAAATTAAAAAAAATAATAAAATCAAGTGGCTCGGCTAAGAGCACAACATTGACCTGTGGAGAAGTCGTAGAAAAGGGTGGCTAAGACGAATTTGCATGTGAATCCGAAAGGGGCAATAGACAAAAAAACAATTAACAGCCTCAAGAACTGAAAACTACTGCCCTACTTACATTAGCATCAATAATGACCAAGATTTCTACTTATTTGCCATTCGTCTACAGATCGACAAATATCGGAGGGAGGCTGAAGACGCAAAGAACAGGTTGTACGAATACGAGGCTGATGCGCAAAGAATTCAACAGGAGACCGCTCTAGAGAATGAAAAGGTGGCGCAACCTTAGTTTCCTTCAAAACAGACCTGTCGTATTTATGAACAACCTCATACTTCTTGTACCTGAAACATCCCTTGAGTGCGGTTGTCGACCTAGCGTGAGGACGATCTTTCCGTTTTTTCACCTTTCTTCAGTTTACAGAATTAACGTGCACAAATGAAAGCTTAACAAGGCGTGTTGAAAGGATGTTAGGTCGTAATGGGAATGGTGGAAAAAAATGTTCACACTGATGCGTTTTCAATAAGGTTACAAATTGCATTGTAATTTGCTTTTTTCGTTTTCCGCCTTTGCAGGTTAAAATGAAATTACACCAAAGGGTTTCTGAGCTGGAACCACTAGCAGATCTACTAAAGGTAACAGCTGTGTCCGATATACATTGTAGGTTTCTCTTTGCTTGCTTATCATATGACATGACCAAGAGGACAATTGATTAACTGCATAAACAATGTGTACTCTGAGCAAACACCAGGGAGCTGTGAAGGATCCCGCGACAGCGAAGCTAGGGCAAGGGTAGCGTAGCTCCATATAAGGTGCAGTGAAAGATGCAATGGCTCCGCACGTGCGTTGCACGTGCATATATCTCCTGTCCTCCACAAAGAAGCCACGTGAAGTGGCCAATTTATTGCAAACGTCAAACAGGACGACATATTTTTTCGTTTCTGTTTCGAATCGAACCTTGTTGTTAAATGTATTAACCGGACTCAAAGACAAAATTTTCTTCGGCCTGGGCAGCTACAGTTCTTCCTAGTTCTATTCCACGTTTTATTGGTCGTTGCTGTATGAGTATTTTATTCTTACCCAGTCCTCGGACGTCCGTCTACAGGATTCCCAAGAGAGGATGCTGGCGTACGAGAGGCGATCCAATGAACATACTAAACTCATAGCTGAACTGACCCAGAAGGTAAGAGATAAAAGGAATTGCAAAGTAACCAAACAGCTCTATCCGAATTCACTTACTGGTAAGATCGAATGTTTATAATTTCTTCTTGAGTATGAAATATTACCGAGTTGAACCGAGTGATATTTTGTCTACAATCTAACCGTTTCATTCGAGAGATTAGGATCTTTAGATTGGATTACGAGTACGATTTTCAAATTTCAAAGCAGTGACCTTTCCAGAGCCCTCGCTCTTCATGTTGGCTTTAGGTAGAGAGGGCAGCTCATAGGATGAGATGGGTATGGGACGTGACAATGTGGAGCCTGCAAACTAGAATTGAGAAGTCGTACTCGTGCTCGATCTTGCACTCGTATTCAAATCTTAAATCCCATAATACAGCCGCTTTAACGCTGAGAAATTTCGAGAGAGTTCGTTAATCGATGTCTTAGGTAGGCTACACAGTTACTGATCACTGAAAACAAAGAGAATATGAAGGTAAATATAACTTTAGAGGGATTACCTTGGGAATAAGGACTATATTCTGGATTGACCTTCTTACACGTCCTCTTCTCTTATCGAAACTAAATAGCATAGTACTCGGCGTCCAGATCCAAATGCTGACCTTTATTCTGTTGACTGCAGGTCGAGATGCAAACAGATCAGTTAGAACACCTGCGCGAGAAGCTGAGGATGGCGCAAGACGAGACAAGAAGCATGCAAGCCAAAAACGAAGTCTTAGAAAGGTTTGTCGAGAATTGTTCGCAAAACTTGAGCACGTGAAGTGACGGGCCGATCATAATCAGAATTGGGATGAGGAGACAGTAAATGTTACCGCGGAAAGCGCGGGAAAAAGAACTTTGGCAAGGGCATGGGAAAAAAGGACCAGTGTTCAGCGCGGAAAATGTAGGCTAAATAACCAGCCGCTGTTCGGGAAAATTAGCCCGCTTCTGCCCCCTTCGGAGAGGAACCTAAGGCATTGTCGCACAAGTCAAATCACTTGATCAAGATTGTTTGAACGTGATTAGCGGAAGAAAAAGGCAATATGTGGACTCTGATTGACGGTCATGTAGCGCTGCCTGGTTGCAACCCTTAGAAACCTTTCACCCACCCTGGCCTCATTGCCTTGTATTGAGACTGGAAAGAGCGCTTACTAAATCAGAAGCCACTATAAATATCACTTTACAGAAAGACCCGCTTTATTTGTCTTCTTTTTTTTTAGAAAATTATCCGATTCTGATCAGCAGAATAGAGAACTTATCGGTGTGATCAGCAAGAAAGAGGAGGCGTTATATCAAACGCAGGTCAGTAAAATGAACTAATGACTCGTTCAAATCTTTTCTTGAAATACTTTTTAACGCCTTTAGTCTTGCAACTGATGTATGAGGAATATAAGTAAACCTTTTCATAAGCTTCAGGGCTCGAAATTGCGACTCACTGGTCGCCAATGCGACCAAAAATTCAGCACTGGCGACTAAATTTTCAGAACTGGTCGCCAGCTGGCGACTCGCGTTTTGTCCGATAACTAAAGAAAACCACGACACAACTTTATTTTTAAATC